AAAAAAAAGACTCCACCAACGTACCCGATGTTCGGCCGACTGCTTGTCGAGACGGATGCATCCCTCATCTTCTCACTCAATCGCGTGCCATCCAGATTGAACCCAAAGAGACGAGGGCTAAAAGAGAGATGAGTGGCGCGGCTAGGGTTTGCAAAGGGCGCACGGGTAGGGGCAAGGCATTTACTTTTACACAATTTGAATTTCTGGGGGTCAAGACCTTTACAATAAGATCATTCTTTTATATATTTCAAACATGTTTGAATTTCAATGTTTCAATTCACTTATTTCGCTAAATCTATTAATTCATTGTTGTAAATCAGTTTTTGATTTTAGTGAAATTATAATTTTGAAATGAGCTAAAGTTATTTTTGAGGAGTGAATGTTTATTTTAGTAAAATTACTTTTTCAGAAGAGCAGATTGTTTTTGAATGAGCGAAAAGTTTCAAATGAGTCAAATCAGTTACGTCAATTTGAAGCGATTGTGAAAATCAATTTTTTGAAACAAGTGAAATATGGCATTTCAATAGTGTTTTTGAAATGAGTAAATATATCTTCCGTTATGAGTGAAAACTTTGAAAGAAATTAGTTTTGTAATGTTTGAAATATAGTATTTCAATAGAGTTTTTGAGTGAAATATATTTGAAACGAGTGAAATATAGTATTCCAGAAATGAGTGAAATATGTTCATTGAAGTGATTGAAATTAATTTTTATATGACTGAAATATCAGTTTCGCAAGGACGTAGTGAAATTAGTTTTCAAATATATCTTTTGTAATGAGTGAAAAAGCTTTTTTTGAAATGAGTAGAATATAGTATTTCAATTGAGTGTAATGTGTTTTTCTGGAATGAGTGGAATATGTTTTTGAGGGAAATAAGTTTATTGAAACTGAAAAATTATATGTTTTTTGAGGGAATATGTTTGCGATGACGCTTAAACAAATATTCAAAAGAAACCTAGTTCAAAAGAAATATCTCGAACAAACCTTTTTCATAAGAAATATGCTAAACAAACCTATTTCATAAGAAATGGGTGAAATATGGTTTATTGAAATGAGTGAAATCATTTATATATGAGCGAATTATCAGTTTAGCAAGCGTGCAGTGAAAAGGTTTTGAAATGTATCTTTTGTAATGAGTGAACAAATTTTTGGAACGAGTGAAATATAGCATTTCATTTCAGTGAGTGTGTAATGTGTTCCCTGAGAAGAGTGAAATCTATCTTTTGTAAATGAGTGTAATGAATTTTCTGAAATGAGTTAAGTCTATCTTTGCAAATGAATTTAATGTGTTTTCTAAAATGAATGTAATCTATCGATTGTAAATGAGTGTAATGTGTTTTCTGAATCTAGTGAAATGTGAAATTGACTGAAAGGTTTTCTGAAACTAGTGAAATGTGAAACTGACTGAAATGTGTTTCCTGAAATGAGTGAAATGGTTAAACTCAAACTAGCCAAATTGTATCCAAGATTGGTCTTATTTTAAAGGTCTTGGCACCGTGAATTCAAAAATATAAGAAGTTTCAAAACTGAATATTTAGTTCAAAAGTTATCAACCTTTTAAAAATGTCACATGGAAAACAAAGTGCATGTATTTTAGTGTGTGCATACAGCCATGGTGTATCTGTTTTCTCTCACCACGACACCTGACAGAAAGTGCTGTTGTGGACCCCATCCAGTGCATGCAGCCGTGGTATATCTGTTTGTACAACATTTGTATTGCTAAAAGAGAGAAATAATAGCATGGTGGGGTCTTCAGCCACATCAATCTCAAAGCAAGTGTTGACGATAAATTCCTAACGGTAGGTACTGGTAAATTTACTTATTCGGGGAGGGACGTCTCCTGGTTGATCGAGGCTATGGGCTACGTGGTGGGCCCCAGCTGTTTCTTTTAAAGCTCCCAAGGAATGCTTTTCCTGTGGTGCATTAATGCTTGTGGGTCACCGGCGTGTGAGCCATCCGGATCTCACAAGAATAAGAAACGCCCAAGCAAAATCTTTACCTCCCATGTCTTCGAGTCTTCTCGATTCTCTCCTTAATGCCTTCCGGTACCCGGTTTCATGAATTCTTCTTCCACGAACCTTTCATGAGCAACCTTCTTTGTTATATTTCACGGTATAACACACCTTTTGGTTGTTATGCCAAACAACATTTGGCCTATGGTTCCCAATGGCTTAGTCACTTAGCCGGAATTGGAACTCCTCACAACACCCAAACTTCACGCCTTTCTTCAAATGAGCATTCTCGCCCTCATTCTTTGGCCTTGGTTCGCCTGGTTTCAAGGCTGGTGTGGGTTTAAAGAACACCATTCTCATGCCACCATCAACTACGGTCTTATGGGCAAGGCTAAGATCACATAATAATGGAGTAATCCTTTCCTTGGTTGTGAATGGTTACATTGGTTTTTTTTTCTATATGCCACCAAGGTCCGATCGCACCGCTTTGACCCTCCTAGGTATTTCCTTCCATTTTTCATGCTTCTCGCACTATCTGGAAATAAATATTTTGTCCATCTCAGCGAACCGAGTGTTTTCGTTTCGCCGAACTAAGTGTTCTCAACGAACTGAACTGTCTACCGAATATGCAATATTGTCGAGTGTGGTTCTTGGTAAAGGCTGGTGTGCCGAGAGACCATGAAAGGGACCACGACAAAGGGCAAGTGCATTCAGGAAGCAAGATTTTTCCATTAGTGTAGCGTTCCAAATTGGTTTCTTACAAAAGCAAAAGGGATACATGAGTATACCATGTGCTCTGTTAGAGAAAATCGGTGAGAATGTAGAAATTCTACGCTTATACTTGCAACGTACCTTGGGTACCAAAGTATTATTTCTTGCTTGTACCGTTGTACTAATTGAAACCTTTATCTAGAAGAAGAGAGATATTAGATGGAGCCCACGTTCTATGAGCTGTCTGAATATACTTCCGTATTGGCGCAAGCAATGGCCTTCTTGTACTAGTCGTCTCACCAAAATAAGTCATAATATGTACGCACGAGTGCAGTAATCACCTCGGCAAAACAACTTTGGATACATCCTATAAATTGATGCCTCCGAGTCGGCATAGGCACCAACGTCGACCTTCTTGTTTGCACAGCCGCAGCAACTAAACATCAGCAACAATAGCCAGTTATAGCCACCACCAACACCAAAGCCATGGCGCCCTCTCGCATCCTCCTCCTAGCCGCGATCCTCCTGGCCCTGGCTTCTGTCCAGGTGCGTGGCCAGAGCATGCCGCCTTCACCGGCAATGGCACCGGCATCATCCGCTGGCGGTGGCAAGTGCATGTTGAATGACGCAGCTGCGCTTGGAGTGTGTCTTAACCTTCAATCGGGCAGGATAAGCCTGTCCGAGAAGAACCGGTGCTGCCATCGGATCCAGGGGATGCAGAGCGCCGCCGACTGTCTGTGCTTGGCCTTCAAGCTGGCTGGTGGCCTTGTCGGCGCCAATGTTGCCGATGGCGTCAATTCCGTGCTGTAGGTGTACTGGTTTCGACCCGGCTTACTATGTGTGCATACTGGTTTATACAAATAAATAAGAATTTGCGATCTACTTATCATACTTGTTGTGTGGCCCCATCTGACGACTATGTATTTAGATCATCTACAACCACATACACCAAAATCCAGCCGCCAAACGCCTATAGACGCGTTCGAGCGCCTCCACGGATAGTGACAGTACAAGTGTACAACACACAAAGAATTGATTCCACAACCACAAATACCATTTTCAAAGCATCAAATAAATATCATTACATGCAACATAAAACTAAAGTTGGGTCGAGCTCGTCCAGCTTCGCCCTGTCCATGACTTGTGGATGGCTGCGCCCCTCAAGGTGTTGGTGCGGTCACTGGCGTGGTAGAGTAGGACATGTGACAATGTACCGGCTCATGGGACTCAATTTGCCGCCGTCTCCTATGTCCTCCTCTTCCTCCTCGGAGCCCGTCACCTCGTGGACGTGATATCAATGATGGGTCCGTCGTGGTCGGAGCCGCAGATGTCCACCACGACACGGTTGCAGCGCTCAGGGTTGGTGGGCATCGTACAGGTTCTAGGAGAGTGCGACACCAGGGCGCTCAGGGGACTGGAGCGCGGGCAGCACGAGCAGGACTTGGAGCCGCAAGGGAAGCTAGCGATAAGCGGCCGGGCGACCCTTCTGCACCTCCCGGCTGACGACGGATCCGGCCGAAACTGTAAACCATGGCGGGGAGTGGAGAGGACGGGTGACATCGCGGTGGAGGGGATGGGAGGCGATGGTGAGCATGGAGGGGTGGCAGAAGATCCAAGCCACGACGAGGAGAGATATGGCAACCGCGACATCGTGGCGAGGAGATATGGTGGTGGCGAAACTATGGCGAGGAGACATGGCGGTGTCAACTTGTGTGGGTTGAGTGAGATGTGAGTAAGGGCTTGTGTCCATACAGTGAGGAAGTGAGAGGAGTGACCTATTTTTTTATTACAAAAACCGGTTGTTCTTTTATATAAATGAAATCAACTATTTGCTCCTAGAGAAATGTAACATATTTTTATAGTGAACAATATCACATACCTTAAATTGTAAATCCTCTAGAATAATCATCAACAAGTGATTTATAAGTGAGCTTAAATTTATTAAAATCGGGATGCAACTTATATATAAAAACTTATATGTTTGTCGCCCATGACAACGCACGGGCACTCTACTAGTAAATATAAGATGTTTAACTTTTTCCTAAATGAATGCATATAGACACGTTTTAATTCACAAACATCTTATATTTGTGAATGGAAGGAGTAATAGTTAAGAATTTAGGCTGCACCGAGGATCTGTACCATTAAAGGGAGCTGGTAGCATCGCCTCCACCTTCTCCCCCGGTTTTTCCTCCCCATGCCTCTTCCTCCACTTTTCTTTTTGGTAATTTCAACAGATGTCGCATAATAAAACCAATGTAAATAGAGTAACTTGAAGTAATCAAAACAAAATCGATACTTTCTAAAACCAAGTCATGTCTCAACTCAATCGAAGAAAATAAAATGAATTCTTACAAAAATCTCAGCTCAATAAAAAAAACCTTACTCTTTCCTATCCATATCCAAATCAAATCAAATCTTGTCAAAATCTCAACTAAATGATAACTATACTTGTCTTCATCTACCCGTACTCAAACTAAATTAAATTTTATCAAAATCTAGAGTACACGAATGTAAGGTATACATTGGACATGATTTATGCTGAACACTAGAATATTTATACCCCCATTTCAATGCATGGGCAAATAGCTAGTAAAGAAGAAACTGTAGTACCTCACTTAAGTACAACAAGCAATCGGGTCGAGTACATCCATCCATCATAAAACATTAGTAAGTAGGCGCGCAATAGGCGTTGCTCTCGTCGAACAGCGACGACAGCGGGGAGTTGCCCATGAGTTTGAGCGGGATGCAGATGTAGGTGGCGCGGTGGGCCACACCCGGGCCGTAGTCGGTGATGAAGCCATCCACCTCCATGGCCACGTCGATGCTGTTGTGGCCTGTTTGGTTGGGCAAGAGCTTCCGGAGGTACGACAGGTTCAACTTCATGCCTACGCGCTCCGTCAAGATGTATTCGGCCTCCTTCCCCTGAGACAAGAATATCTTAGCCTTCAGGTTGAACGTAGCGATGAAGGTCCGGTTCTCCGGTGGCAAGGATAGGTACTCCTGGCTGTCGGCGAGCCGGATGGTGACGTTGTGGTAGTAGATGGAGGTGCGATTTCTGAGGTTGGTAGCCTGGAGAAAGAAGGTGAAACGGTACAGGTCACCGGATTCGGAGACTCTTCTTACCGCCACGGAGCTGCTAGGGATCCGGAGTTGGAGCTTGAGGGGATTGAACAGCAGGAACACTGCCCAGACAACGAGGACGCCGGCGAACACGGCGACCGCCGTGGCGACCACGCTGCGCACCAAGCATAGCCAACGGAACCTTGAGGCCTTGCAGAAGACGCCGGCGCCGGCTGCCATATATGAAAATGACGCTGATAGCTGGTGTGTTTCAAAATTCTGAACCGATGAGGTACGTATCTATGCAGCGCATAGTTCTTTTCAAAAAGAAAAAAAAGGACCGGCTGTGTGTCTCAGAGAAAAGAAAAAAATCAACTACCCCAAAGGCAAAGAAAGGGCCCTACGTAGATTTTGGCTGATTTCAATGAGGTAGGTACCCATGCAGCACATGATTTTCTTTTCTTTTCGAAAAGAAAAGAAAAAGAAAAGGCTGTGTGTTTCAGAGGGAGAAAAATATAGTACAGTATATAACTTTATTTTAGGGCAAAAATTTATATAGAACCATCCAAAAGGCAAAGAAAGAGGCCCATACGCCGATTTTGGCTAATTTCAGTGTTGTACGTACTCATGCAGCGCATGGTTATCTTTTCTTTTCAAAAAGAAAAAGGATCGGCTGTTATTTTCCTTTATGGCTACGTACGTATCCATGCAGCGCAACCATTTATTTTCCAAAATAATAATACTATTTTCCTTAATTCATTTGTTTCAAGTACATGTACCACCGCTTCATCTTTGTGGACTATGCAAGATATCGATACACACAATGACGAGATGAAATAAACTCTTCGATTTGTCCCCGCCTATTGGTACTGTTGGGACTAGGCATCCCTCTTATCAGGGCCACACAATGACTTTGAGACCGGCACTAGTTGTTGTATTTGAATGAGCTTATTGCAAGTACTCCCTCCATTTCAAAATAGAAAGGATCCTAGCGGAAACACATGTCAGATATCCTGAATTTTTTTCATAGCTTCTGAAAATATTTTATAGAGTAGTTTACAAAAGCTTGATCAGAATTTTAAATTTTTTCAGACGTAATAAAACCTTTCTGTAGTTTTCCAAAGTTCATCAAAACTTTTTGACTATCTGAATTCTCCATTATTCGTGACAAGGTGTCCAGCAATAATGCAGTGCATCAAGCACATCCAACGGTGTATATAGTTTGAGTATACAATAAAATACATACCTGTCTCTGTCTGTTTCAATAGTTTTAGAGATTGTGTGTTTCAAAAGAAAAAGTGAGTAGCAGACTCACAAGCATCTACAATTTCTATCTCAAAGGGAAAGAAAAAGGCCCTACGTAGATTTTGGCCAACTTCAAAGATGTACCCATGGAACACATGATTACCTTTTTCTTTTTCTAAAGAAAAAGACCGATTGTTATTTTCCTTTCATTTAACATCCTGGTCATGGACATGATGGTAGACAACACATGACGTAATGATACATGCACATGGATACACATAATGACCGTAAAAGTTTACCACTCGCTCTCTTCTGGGTCCACCGGAACTCCTTGGACTAGGCATATCTGTTTCGAGGACTGTGCAATGACTTTAAGATCCACACTAGTAGTTTTATTTACTAGACTATATTGCATATATTTGCTAATATGGACATATATTTTGGAGAGGACACATATGACAGATATCAGGAAACTTGCCATTGCTTTTCGTAATCTTCCATCATTTACATAAAATAATGATTTTTTTTTATTTTTTTCAAACTTCATAAAAACTACATAAGTATCTGAATTCTCCTTCATTTCATGAGGAGTTGGTGAATTTTTAGTAGTGCGCAAAACTTAATGGAAATTTAGAAAATTCTTACAGTTCATAAAGATTTGATGAAATTATTCATAGCTTACACAAAACTAATGGATTTTGTCCAAAATTCTCATAGGGTTTTTGCTTACTTATAAACTTGGTCTAGGGTGTTACACCAGGTCTCCCACATCAGCGCCTGCATCGTCCACTAATAGCCTAATTATTTTTCCTGATCCAGTCGCAATTTGCACATATTTGTTTTTTTAACGCATGGTAAAAAATGGATTAGGGTTTCCTTAGAAGAAATGCTAAAAACAGAAAGTAAGATTAATAAAATTCAATCTAAGTAAGAAAAAGATTATAGGCTGATAGAAGAAACACACTAAGAATAAATAGAAGAAATTTCATTGAAAGGAAGAATGAATTATATGAGTGGATTAACCCTAAAAATGAAATTAATGGCATATAACTAACAAATCATAACGAATTACTGTCAAACTCTTTTCTTATATGCAAAAATTAGAATGATATGAAAACTTGCAAATAAATTACACAAAACTTGCAGTCTTTTTGTGTTATGCAAGAATAAGTGTAAACTAGTGCAACTTCAATAATAATTATGATTTAAGTAGTTCAACTACAGAAATGAATTCCAATCTAAGTCCCTAAAACAAATTGAAGTAGTATCACACGATTGCGCCATCAAATCGCTGCCACGTTCGCATATAGGAGAAAACCCAATCGACATAAAATCAACTAAACAACACCAAAAAATAGGAGCCATAAACATTAGCACAAGTGAGAAAATAAATGAATTTTTTTATGTCGGTCACTTGTTCTCTTATCAATAAACAGATATATCTGTAGGCCAAAACAAAATGTATTCTAAAATGGAATGAACTAAGGACATTGATATTACACTAAAAGAAGAAAGGAAACTCAAAATAAATGATGACAAAACTTGCACACAGATTTCATACAATTTGCGTTGTTCTACAATATATGCTAGAACAAGCATATATTAGTGTAAATTTCAGACAATGGTATTATTTTGAATAGAGATTGCATATAACTTGCATGTACACCTTCATGTTATATTTGGTGTTCAAACAATAGAACAACAACATTGGAGATTAGTCACCCATCAACACGTCCATGGTGAATTGCATCTCATGTCGGTGGTGCCATCTTCCTCATCCCTCGATCTAAATAAAGATGAGTAGGCATCCCTCGATCTAAATAAAGATGAGTAGGCCGTGCAGTGATTAAAGAGGTGTTAAAGGAAAAGCGTGTTCTTTATAATGAAGCGCAATGATATGGAGCTGGGCCTAGACGGTGGCAGGCTGGCCTAGCCGGCAAAATATAAATCCTCGCTTATTAGTTTGGCTGGGCCGGAACAATTCAAGATAAGCGAACAACACAAAATGGATAAAAATGTCGTCTTTAAGGCAACAAACAAATAGCTGTGCGAGCACCATTTAAAGTGGTAAATCTAGCGTTTACTGGTATGTAAGAGCATCTGTAGCAGACCCCGCAAAATACTAACTCGAATAAGTCTTTTGTAGTTCGCGGAAAAGGGTATATGCGGGACGGCGCAGGCGAGGACAAACTCAAACTCCATATAATCAACCCGTAAAAAGAAATATTCTCTGAATATACCAAACAGACCCAGAGCTAGCTCTTTTTTTAATTGTCCTCTTCCTCGCGTCAATCCGGCAGACAGACGGACGAGGAAAAACACGAGGCAAGCGCGGCGCGGGCGGAGGCCAGGGCGGCCGGATGGAACGGCCGGCGCATCCAGCTAGCTAGCTAACTCTTCGAATCGATTGAGCTGCTAGCTAGCTAGCTAGCTCCTCCGTTCGAGAGCCGCGGCGGCCGGGACGGAGGGCCGGCCGGCTATCGGACGGCCGGCAGGCGAGCGCGGTGGTCAGGGTGGATGGCCGGTGGGCGTGCGGCCGGCGTCCAGGGACCAGTGGCAGGCGAGCGTGGCTGCCAGGGCGGGTGGCCGGCGTCGGGGACGAGCAGACAGGAGCGGGCCATGAAAGTTCCGATGGCTGTTAGACTCCCGCCAACGGTCTCTCGAGTATACATGAACTCTTTGGTTTGGCTCCCAAATCCTTATTTTTACAGTTTTGATGGAGATGTTTTCCGCGCCCCTTAAAATTTTTAACGGGTCCGACACATTTACAATGTCTGATTAGGCGACTTTTTTCACTCGGACCCGTATTTTGGCAGTTATTTTACAGGATAGGACATTATGCGAGGTCTGCTAGAAATGCTCTAGCGGAAGTGGATACGCACACAACTTTGTGTTCTTGATTCGTGCTAACTTTTGCGGTATAAGGTGCGGAATAAAGCAATACTCTCACAATACTTGGACTAGGTCCACTTCCTCTGACAGCCACGTGAGAGATGATAGTTGCATCCAGAATCTCTCTCCTCTCTCTCTAATAAAAACATACCCTTTTATTTATTTGACTTATTTATTGATTGATATCTTATAACCTACACATTCAATTTTGAAACTTTTTGCATATTTGAAACCCTGATGATAAGACCTGTAAAATAATGGATATAGTTTTAACTCATTAAAATTTCAATGTTGGAATGGGTTAGATGTAGATTTCAGAAAAAAAATGTTACACATATCGAAACAAAATTTAACTCATTTGAAAACACTGATTTCACTCAATTTTAAAAACATTTCCCTAAATTTAAAAAGGATTTCATCCGTTTCAAACACTGATCCATTAATTTCAAAAAACACTGATTTCATTAAATTCAAGTAATTTCACTAATTTCAAAAAATGATTTCACTTGATTGAAAAAATAGATTTCAGTCATTTGAAAAAACATGCCAATAAAACTGATTTCTATCAAATCAAGAAACTATGTTGACTCATTTTTAAAACTGATTTCAATCGTTTCAAAAAACAGATTTCACTTTATTTCAAAAAACTTATTTCACTCTATTTTAATTTTTTTCACTCTCAAAAGCTGATTTCACTTTTACAAAAAATAGATTACACTCAATTCAGAAAACATATTGAAAATAAATCAAACTAGTTAAAATATATCGAACACTATTGGTCTTTTTTTTTGAATAGTTTGTTTTGCTTACCACATGTGTCATGTGGTACACTATTGCCAGGAGTCCAAGTATATAAAAAAATGTTAAAGTTGAAATATTGATTTTGTAGATATAAATAATTTAACTTAGCAAAGGTGAAATAAAACAGCAGATATGTTTGGGAGAGAGAACATGCAACTCTGTTGCACTGCCTTACAAAAAGTGGTGAACCACGTGACTTGACGTAAAGAGATATATGGAGTAGTAAAATAGTACTGGCATGGGACCCACCCCTATTACACGAATCTTGAAGCACTTGAGTGGTGGATTCCTTGTCACAGGTAGAAATGTCAGCACTATTAAAAGTCGATCTGCATCCGGCCTAGAGAAGCAGCTTCAGCATCGGTTAGCTATAGTGCCAACTGCTCCGCGCGCAGATGCATAATTTCCATGGCCAACAGTAGGAGTAGGAGTATCCCAGCTGCAGCTCCAGGCAGAGCACCATGGTGGTGGCCGAAACACAAGATCCTCATCCTGACAGGCATGGCCCTAATCCTCGCCGTCAGCACTGTTATCATAGTCACCTGCATCATCCTCAGCCCCGCGCACATCCACTTCTCCATCACGGCGGCCAACAGTACAAACAGCACCATGGACGGCGAGAACGGGCTGTCCTTCAACTTCACCCTCGCCGTCGACAACCCCAGCCGCCGCGCAGGGGTGGACTATAGGGAAGTCATCGTGAGCCTGCAGCTCCCCAGTAAGCGCTTGAAGAACAACTCGGTGCCGGCGACGGTGAATGGATCCATGCCGCTGTACCAGTCGCGCCACAGCCAAATATCCATGGCCGTGGCAGCGTTCGTGGAGAAGGACTTGTTGGACCTTTACCTGAAGAAGTTCTACAGAGGCCATCCGACGTTGACAATCATGGTCACAGCACTGGTCCGTTTCAAGGTTGGGGTGGCCTACTCCAGGCTCTATGACATTACGGTCTACTGCCCGCCTTTCGTCTTCTTCGACGTCTTCCAGGACGGCAACTTCAGTTATCATTTTGCGAAGGGCAACGCCAATTGCTCTGCCTGACATGCATCAGCCTATATATTTCATGATTGGGTCTGCAGATTTGTTGTGCAAATGCAAGTTTACAATTAACAGTTGGTATGATGTATGTGCTCGCTTGAGCTTCGATCTTCCATAAATGTAGTGTGCTGCTGCGGTACGGGTCTCATTTCTAAATTCATCGATTCCCTTCTTCAATCTTCTTCGATTCTAGTATTAATAAAACTGTATCACGTCCGATTAGTCTGAGGGATCAAGACTGTTTTTTGTTTTCTTCAGTATGTCCCATTTGGCCCAAAGGTTATGCTGAAATTTTCTATAACGTCGTTTGTTATAATTCCTTTTCTTATACCTTGTAGGGCGTTTGTTCGATCGAACGATTCTCTGGACAAACTATAAATTGGTTCTTCAAGGTGGCAGAGGAAGGTATCATTCGAAAGGGTAACACAGAGATATTATGTCTTTGTAAGAAGTGCGAAAACAGAGTTTTGATCGAACCCTTTTTACTGGCGCTGTGAAGATGCACTTGCTCAAATATGGTTTCCTGCTAGGTCTGGACAAGGCACGAGGAAGATGAGGAGGACATTGTTTCCGACGTCGATGAAGGGACGACAGATAAAGGAGCGGGAAACCATGTCGATGAAGAGCGAGAAGAAGGTAACGACAAGGAGGTGCCCAAATATGAAGAAAATTAGGACTGACATGAAGAAGAGTCTCTGACGCAGGAGTGGTCATTGGCTACAATGTTGGAGGACCCTAATTTTAAAACTGAAAAGGATGAGTAATGGAAGAGTTGTTTTTAGAGAGGCTAGCACAAGTTGGTGCAACTGGAAGTAGACTTGACAACTCTACTGTATGAGGCTACAATCCGAACACACCCACCAGGATGTCAGGCTCAAACTTCTAGGCCTCAAGACAAAATACAAATGCACGGGCGCAAGCCTGGATGCGACATCTGAGTATCTATACCGAGTTTTTCCCGCAGGGAACATGTTGCCTCGTAGTGTCGAAGAGGCCAAGAAAATCACGTGCCCTCTTAATTTTCCGCATCACATGTGCGTCACTAGTTGCATCATTTATTGAAACGAGCACGATAAGAATAGAGTCCAAGGTGCAACAAACCCCAATTCAAGCGTGGAAAGAAAAATGCTCGAAAGATTGGAAGGTACTTTGCGCTCATTCCTCACATGCAACATTATTACACAAACAAGAGGGAAGCTGAGCACTTACATTGGCACACCGAAAGAAGCTCGCGTAAAAAATGATGACATGTTGAGACACCCCATAGACGGTGGCCGGTGGAAATCACTCGACTATGTATTGATATGTCTCCAATGTATCTACAATTATTGATTATTTCATGTTATTATATTATCAATCTTAGATACTTTATATGTAATTTTATATTATTTTTGAGAACTAACCTATTAACTCAGTGTCCAGTGCCGGTTGTTGTTTTCTACATGTTTTTTGTTTTTTAGAAAATCAATATCAAACAAAGTCCAAACACGATAAAACTTTACAATGATTTTTTTTCTGGACTAGAAGGGACCCTAGGAACCTCGGGATGAGACCGAGAGAGGTACGAGAGTGCCACAAGCTCACACGGCGCGCCCCCTAAGCTTGTGGGACCTTCACAACTCTGTTTGACCTAATTACAACTCCATAAATTCCGTAAATCTTGAAACTTACAGGCAGCCACCCTAAACACTTTTTTCGCCGGCGCAAACTTCTGTTCTTTTGCAATTCCATCTGGAGTCATTCTCTGATCCTCTGTCAGAGGGAGAATCTATGACAGAGGGCTTCTACATCAACCTTACCGCCCTCCAATGATGTGTGAGTAGTTTACCATAGACCTACGGGTCCATAGCTAGTAGCTAGATGACTTCTTCTCTCACTTTGATCTTCAATACAAAGTTCTCCATGATCCTCATGGAGTTATATAAAATGTAATCTTCTTTTGCGGTGTGTTTGTTTGGACCCTATAAATTTTGGGTTTATGATCCGACTATTCATTAAAAGTAATTGAGTCTTTGATGTATTTTATTATGCATGATTGTTATAGATTTGGATTTCTCTTCGATTTATCCATTTGGTTTGGCCAACTAGATTGATTTATCTTCAGTGAGAGAGGTGCTTTGTGACGGGTTCAATCTTGCGGTGTACTCAACTCGTGACAAAGGTGTAGCGAGGTACGTATTTGTATTGTGTTGTCATTAAGGGTAAAATGATGGGGTTTGATTGAGTTTATTCTTTTTAAATTTGTCTTCTTGCTTCATGCATTACTTTGTTTGTTATGAACTTAATACCATAGATGCATGCTGGATATCAGTCGATTGGTGGAGTAATAGTAGTAGATGCATAATCGTTTCGGTCTACTTGTCACAGACATATACATGATCATTGCCATGAATAACATAATAACTATGTGTTTTTCTATCAATTGCCCAACAGTAATTTGTTTACCCGCCGTATGCTATGTCTCAAGAGAGAAGCCTCTATAGTGAAAACTATGACCCGTGGGTCTACTTTATTCATATTATAAAAACCAAAAATACCTTGCTACAAATTATTTACTTTATTTTATTTTACAATTTATCTATCTACCACTACCATATTTGATCCTTGCAAGTAACGAGTTCAAGGAGATTGACAACCCTCTTGCCAGCGTTGGATGCAAACATTTGCTCTTGTGTGTGCAGGTGTTGTTCACTAGGCTTTTTGTGATTCTCCTATTGGTGTGATAACCTTGGTTCTCACTCAGGGAAATACTTATCAACTACTATATTGCTTCACCCTTCCTCACCGGGGAAAATCCCAACACAGCTCATAAGTAGCAGAAAGAATCTCCGGCACTGTTGCCAGAGAGACATCATCAAAAACCTACAAGTTCCTGCACTCAAATTATCATCTACTTACTCTACTTTTTATTTGCTTTATTTTCTTTTACTAATCTCATAAAAAAAATATAAAAAAACATATATTTTTTACGTTGCTAGTTTGCTTGTTTGCTCGCTTGAAGTTGCTACCATGTCTGAATTTGTTACCGCTAAATGAGGAAGTGAGGATAGCAAAACTAATGAGAATAAAACTCCCGTAAATTAGAATACTAAAGCTTTTGTGATGGAAGTGGGAACATTATAGGGAAAAGTATTATTCAAGAGTTCTTCACTTGTAAAATCTTCTTGATGTGCGGGATTAGTGATTATAATCGCCATAATCATTGTTACTGGCTTCCTAGTAGGATCATCGGCGACCACGTTGGATTTTTCTGGATGGTAAATGACCCCAAGGTCATAATCCTTGATTAACTATAGACATCTTCTCTGCCTGAGATTGAGGTATGGTTGGGTGAAAATATATTTGAGACTCTTGTGGTCCATATATATCTCACACCTTTGCCAATAAGGAAGTGCCTCCAAATCTCCAAATCAAGAATCACGGCTTCCAATTCCAATTCATGGGTGCGGTAGTTTTGTTCATGTGGCCATAGCTATTTACATTTATATGTCACAACTTCTCCCTCTTGCATTAACACGCAACCAATCCCACATCTGGAAGCATCACAATATATGTGGAAACTTATGTGAATATCCGGTAGAGTCAAGACGAGGCTTGTAGTCAATATTGTCTCCAGCACCATGAAACTAGAATCACAAGCCTCAGTCCAAACAAATTTGTGATCCTTCTTCGCCTCGAACTTGCTTTACAAGCCTCGGCCCAGACAACTTTGCCATCAAAGGGGTATATCGGAAAATAGAAACTGGTGGAGAAAACAGGTTGAACACATGCTTCTAACATGTCTAGACAAATAGAATACTCCTTTTATACACAATTGCGCGGGGGCAATAGTGTAATCGTTCAATTTTCTTAGTTTATTTTAGTAGTCTTGTCGTGTCAAATATGTCGGCTATGGCAAAACATCAGAAACTGCCTGGCCTCTTCTATCCTTGACGCAATTACATTTGTAATGTAATAAAAATATGTACACGTGTGTTTCAATGAGCGAAAGAAAAAAAAACTAACTATCGCAAAGGCAAAGAAAGAGTTCCTGCGTAGAATTTGGCTAATTTCAGTGATTTACCTACCCATGGAGCGCATGATCATCTTTTCTTTTCAAAGGAAAAAGGACCGGCTTTGTTTTAACACAATACAAACGCAAACACTAATACATACAAACATACACTTATCCCTATGAATGCACACACCCTATCCTATGAGCACTTTTGAGAGACCAAGCCGACACATCATCTTCAGATCGACGAAGTCGCCACAGACATCTCCTCCCACTAAACGCACATCGTCGGAAGGCCTAGAATAAATTCTGGAAAATGCGAGCACCAATTTCATGTCTAGGAATTGAACCTTGGTGGGACGTGGATAACAATGTCCTCTGGACCATCCGACCACGGGTTGGTGAGCAAAAGGACCGGCTGTTATTTTCCTTTATTGATACATACACATGCAACATGATAATCTTTTCTTAAAAGAACAATATTATTTTTGTTTATTGATTCTTTATTGTTTCTAGTGCATGTACCGCCGCTTTATTTGCTACATATACCAGTCTGATTCAATACTTTGGGCAATTGTGTGTTTCAACAGAAAAGGTGAGTAGCAAACTCACAAGCATCTATGATTTCTGTCCCAAAGGAAAAGAAAAAAGCACTACATATATTTTGACCAACCTCAAAGATATACCCATGGAACGCATGATTACCTTTTCTTTTTCTAAAGAAAAGAGCCGGATGACATAATTCTATAGTTTAACATCATGGTCGTGGACATGATGATGGACTACTCATGACGTAATGATGCATGCAGGTCGATACACGCAATGACATGATGAAATAAACCCAAGAATTTTAGCACTGGCTCTCTGTTCTACACCAACAACTTCGCCGCCGTCATCATCAACTTTCCCCCCTCTATGCAGCGGTGTAATCTCTGTATTCCCACTGTAATATCTACTTAAACATGGTTAAAGTTGTATATTACTGCCCAATGATGTGTGGTCATCCTAT